ACTTTTTATTTCAAATAATGTTTTTTTTTACTTCTTCGTGTAGGTATATCGTTGATTGTATTCCATCAGGGGCTTCGATCCATTTTGAGGATAGGGGGGGGGGCAAACGATATTATTCAGAACTTAACACGTTAAAGTATGGTAGCTTTAACTATGATATCTTTATGTATCTCTTAAATTTATCTCAAAACAAAATATTAACTTGCTATTACAGGATTGCCGTTTGCCGTACTGGAATTACAACCATTCACTAAGTGAAACATGTTTCTTTTATGGATATACTGAAGTCTCAGATAAAAAAAAAAGGACTGGAATCCCCTTTTTCTTTAAAGGTAGTAGCCCTTATTTGCAAAGCATTGTGGGAGGTCTCGAACAAATTTAGGCTCATTGTAACTTAAAATGAGGACTCATCAAAGTAAACATATATCACATCATTGGATTTATAGATATAATGTGACCTTGTGAGAAATTAAACGTTTTCTTTTTAAAGCAACTGGAAGTCGCCTTAAGAACTCAAAGAAAATATCCTGATGCCAATTGGCATCTACAAATGAAATTTTATGGAAATTAGGAGGGTGTGCAAATGAAGGCTACTACCTTTAATGTAAACATTGTATCTAAAGTAAGAGACTTTTGTTTACACTGTATCTAAAATGAAAGACACTACGAATACAGTCGTGATTCTGTATCTCTTAACGCGTAAACTGCTAAAGGTTTATTTTTATTTTTGACTTTTCATCAAGACGGCGGCATTCAATTCGGAAATTCAGGTTTGATCGATAATATCTCTCTTGTACCTGCATTATTATCATTGCATTTGGTATCATTGGAAACCCTGTTCATTTTCCTTTTCAAAACAGTAAAATAGCCAGGTGGTGTACTTAATTGTATATGCAGCGTGCACCTTACATGCGAGGTCTGCTTCATATTTCTGAAGTTAGATGAAATTTTATTGATGTATGGATTGTATGCTAGGATAACCCCTCTTCATTTTAAATTCATAATGTTTGCGAAATATTATTATTCTCGGGAGCACCGTTTCAGACGTGCAGTACGGCCAAAGAAAAAGTACTTAAATATAGCTTGTTGGGGGAGAGAGGGGTAGGAAACTGAGGCAAGGTGGCAGGGAAGACAGCCGAGGGGCGGTGGAAGAAGGAGGAGGCTGAGCGTGCGACAATGGAGACAAAGGGAGGACGGGCGGGGATAAAGTAGGAGTTTTGCACCCTACAGGCTAAGGCGCTCTCCTTACTATAAACACAGGTCTACTGATAATAATTTATTACAGAAACTTATGTTGAGATATCCTCTGACCATACTA